AAATAAATGTGTCATACCCCTCTGCCCTTCCATAGTCCCGGGGTCGTTATTTATCCTGTTATGGCTGGCTGATGGGCAGAGGAAATGCTGCCTCACGTCTGGTTCCACAGCAGGTGTGAGCCTCAAGCGAGTCCTCGGATGCGAGACAAACAGAGGCTTACTTCAAACGCCCTTGAGAGGAGAAAGTCAAGTATTTTTGGGGCTTCTACCTCGTTCAGTTAAACCTTTTCTTACCACTCATGGCAGACAGAAGGGCGATGGCGTCCCAACCACTCCATCTCACACCAGGGTTCCCCTTGGCTCTGCCCCCTCAGCCTCCTGCCCCCCTCCCCGTGCCTGTGAGGGCAGAGCTCCTCAAAAGTGTCTGCCAAGGGCAGTTCAAGCAGTGCTTATGCAGGACTTAGCTTTAGGCTGCTGCTTTGAGCTCTGCCTTTTCATACTTGCTGCAGTGTGTGCTTTTTGTGAACAGTGACTTTGCCCCAGACCTCCTATCTCTGCCGTCACACTTTACTCTGTATTATTTGTGTTTCCCCCTGCTTTTTCATTCCTTTCTCTGTTTCAGTGATCTGTCCACCTTTCAACTTTTACCTTTGTGTGCTTTTATAGCCTCTTAATGAAAATAAATCAATACAAAAAGGAGCTTGAGATTTATTTTTTTTGGAGGGGGAGGAGGCTTGGTGTCCTCTAAGGGGCCTGAACCTACTTTGTGAGAGTTATTTTGTCAATGGAGTTTGTGAGCCGGCGTGCCTATGGGCCTAGAGCACTATTATGGCTATTGCCGTAACTCCAGTACCATCTTGTTCCAGGCTGCGGATTTAGGTACAAACTGATATTAAAAAAAAAAAAAAAAAAATCAATGTTTGTGAGTGACAACAGTAACCTGAGAGAAACATAGACTGCCCGACAGGAGCTGGGGCGGGCCTGGGCGGGGCCTGAGGGGTGGCAGCGGTACCGGCGCTGCGGCCCGGGGCTGGCCCGGGGATCGCGGCCCGGCCCCGCTCCCCAGAGAGGGGCGGGGCCTGGGGCCGTTGTCCAATCCGCGCTGCGAGCGGCGCCCGGGAGCGGCCAATGGCGAGGCAGGGCGGCAAACTTGGGCGGTGTAACCGGAAGGCGCGCGCTTCTTCCGGCTCGGCTGTGGGGCGGCTAGGCTGTGGGGCTGCGGGGCCGCGCTCCGGCCGCTTTTGGGTGCAAATGGCGATTTTTAACGCGTTTGTGTTCCTGGCCCGCAGCGGGACCGGCGCTGGGGTGCGGGATGTGCCCGGGGGCAGGTGCGTAGCAAGCGCGGGGAAGCCGCGATAGGACCCGCGAGCTGTTTGTCTCTGGGCCTGGTGGCGGCTGAGTCCCCCTGGGTGGGCCTTGCAATGCGTAAGAGCTAATTTGTTGAGATGTTGTCTGAAGTATAACGTATTCTATCTGTTCAAGTTTCGTTTGGTGTACTGAAAATGTGACGTTCTTGCGCATGTGGGAACTCTGGCCCTGCTTGTGGAGATGTAAAATAAGTCATTAGAGTGCTCCGGATACATAACGGAAAACGCACAGTAGTAGAAGTTACTTTTGGTGAAACAGCTGTTGTATTGTAGGTTTGCTGAAGTGCTGAATCTCAAAGCGTAGTCTAAGGTTTGTGCAAGCAGAGCAGGGAGTAGACAGATGGGCTCCAATAGGCTGAGGACTACCTCCTTGTGTGGAACCTTTAACTCAACAGTGAACGCAAAATCCGTGTAAATCCATTCTCAGTTGTACTTTTTTTTCCTCGAGGTCACTGAGAAACGTGGGACGAGAACTGAACCATGACTTCTTGAAGGCCCTAGCAGAAAGAGGAGCAGCAAATCGTGTGGAAGAGTTTCCGTGAGTACCTGTGATTTTATAAATTTAACAGCTTCAAGATGAATCTGAAAAGCAAAACATGGTTTTTTTTTTGAAGGAAAGCCTCAGGTAGAAACACGTGAGAAAGGTTATTTGATGGGCAGTTTCTTGAAAGCGAGAAATATGTTGGTGTTAGGTTTTTTTATATACCTTCTGCTTGAAATAGAAGTGTTATTCCTCTCTATCCCTTCCATTCTTCTGGGGTCATTTTTTATTCGGTTATGTCTGGCTAATTGGCAGAGGAAATGCTACCTGAAGTGCGGTTCCACAGCACATGTGAGCAAGGTTTTGCATGAGCTTCCAACGCGTCACAGTTTCTGCTGCCTGGCAGATGTCCTGGGAACCTGAGATACTCGGGGAGAAATGCAACACAAAAGGTTAAATCTGTGCCTGAACTGAGAGACGATGGGGCCCTGCTGTGATGGTTTGGCCTTGAAAATGGAAGCGTTGTTTGACTTGTGATACTTGTTTAGCATAACGGTAGAAAAAAGGTAAAATAGCCTTTGGCAGTGGTAGGCCGTGACTCCCTCAGTTCCCTCTCTGGCCCGAGTTTTCCGAGCTCCTTGGAAAGGAGCCGCAATCCCCTCGTTCTCCAGCTGGGGTCACCCCTGCCTTAGGCAGAGCCATTCCAGCCCGGGAGGGGCTCTCAGTGCGTGCGACAGACGGGTCTGCCCGTACGGAAGGGCAGCACGATTCAACTTTTATAGCCTAAAAGGGTCTTTTTCTACGACTTGTAGTAATTCAAAAGGTTTTTAGGGTTGTTTTTTCCCGCTTAATTTTTTTCCCCACTGTTCTGTTGCATGTCCGTCATCTGTGGGGTTCCCTGCTATCGGTCTGTGTGTCTTTTTAGTGCTGTCATGGAGTTGGTCCAAGCTCTGGTTCTCGTGCAGTTTTCTGGTTTACAGGAGAGGTCATAATGTTTGCTTAAAACGCTTCAACGTGTGAAGGAATTTCACCTGGTGGTTCAGAAGTTACTGTTGGCTGTGATCACAGAGACACGTAGGAGACATTTTTGGTTTTCTCTGTTGTGTATCTGCTGAGGCCACAGTGAGCAGGCATTCCCTGTGGAGCTGTGGGGGTTTTAATCTGCACAGGGCCCTCTGTATTTGCAGCAGGGCTGCAGGCAGTTCTGTACGGCTGTAGAGGCTGGTGGCTGCAGAGGAGTGGTGCTGGCACGGTGAGGTCCTGGCTGTGCTCTCTAAGGCACCTGTGTGCTTGCTGCACTTCTCTGGGCACTTTAGGGCCCTGGGAACTGCTCCTGCCAGGGAGATGGAGGCGGTGCAAGCCAGCAGGGCTTAGCTGCTGCAGAGCTGGATGTCAGGGTTACTCCAGGAAGGTCAGAGGAAAGAAATCTAAAAGCTCCCCAGGGGCTGAGTAGGTGCAATCTTGACAAAGCTTTTTGTAACCCCAATTTTGCTGTAACGTTCTCCTTAGCTCAGCCCCTTGTTGGAGGGCTAGCAGCACTGTTTGTGCCTGTCTCTGGGATGGGGATACTCCATCCAGCTGTGGGGAGCCGTGTCCGTGCTCTCACACCCTGCTGCCTGTGGGAGCCCTGCTGCTGTGTCTGGACCCTTAGCAATCAGTCTCTGCCAGAAGATGAATTTCTGTGTCTTTTCTGCATGTACAGCCAGCCTATCGTTTCGTAACAGACTCAAGCCCAACATCACTAGCTGGGGTTCCTACTTCATCCCCTTTTCCTACAGGCTTTTGCACAGTACCCACACGGCAGGCTGTTCTGGGAGGTTTGTTCTCTGTGGTGAGCCTGTTGGCACTGAAGCACTGCGTATACTTGCTGGGTAACCAGGTCTGTTCCAAACCTGACCTGGAGAAGTGTGTGTGAGAAATGAGCTCTAGGAGGTGGAATTCACCTGAAAGCCAGTACAGATCTCATGGCCAGAAGAACTCGGCAGGCAGACAGGTCCTGACTTCTTTACACAGGTGTGTGTTTACCCTGTCTAGCCCTAACCTCTACTCTGGTATGCATTAAATATTACTTGTTTATTCAAGGTGATAAAGGGTTCTGTGGGTATTGGCACTGGTATTGACAAAAGCCTTAGGGAATTATGCAATAGACGGGAACTCCTTTTTTATGTCCCGAAGGAAGTCTCTCAACAACTGTGCTGATCTTTTGGGAGGGGCTTGGTGTGATGGGCCAGAGAGGAACACTCCAGCCTCACTGATGCGTCTGAGGATCCTGTAAGCTTGGACGTGGCTTCCATGGCGATTGGAGAAAGTTCTGGTTGTGTGTCTGTGGGTAGCAGTACAGCAGTCAGAAGTGTTTGGGCGCTTCAGATAATTAGGTGGAATCTGTTGGGGGAAATCAGGGAACTTAGTAAGATGAAGATTCATCCTTTCTCTGCTGTTCCACTTGATGGGGGATGTGGAGGGAGAGGGGGGGAAAGTTTTCCACCACTAAAACCAAACCACAAAGCAGGTAAAAACCTCAAATCGTGGTGTCGGTGTTCTCAGTTGTATGAGAACTAAAGCCAGATCATCAGATGAAATCTGTGCCTGGGAGAATGGAACTTGTTGATTTTTGTTTGCCCCTGAATACTGGCTGTCAAGGCAGTTGGTTCGTCCTTTTGGGTTTCAAGTGCGTGTTCCTGAGGCTGGGCGAGAGCACTGGTTACACTTGGGCAAGCTTTCCACATGACCCCTTTCACGTTGGAAAATTGCTGAAGCTGATCCTCCTGCTGTGATATCTTTCCCCTTTACTGTTTCCCACTATCTCCATAGGGTTCCCAATCAAGAAACAGAGGGTATTATAGAAATATTTATTTATTTTAAATGGAGCCATCTTTGTTTAGTAAATTGCCGTGGAAATGACATGAGTCACGCAGGGAATCATTACTAATTTCAAACACTTCTGCCCTTGCAGTACAAAATACCTGTCTGATTCCATGTCACTGGACAGTGTCGTGTCAAAGAGACTGCCTTTCCTGCAGATGTCACATTTCATCTCCTGAAGGCTTAGTGTGCATTTCTTCCCAGTGCAGTGGGGGATAGGTGGGTGTGCAAATCGTGTTACTTGTTGAGACTGCTTGTGCAGGTGACAAGTGGGACCTTTTATTTCCAGAAGCCATAGGTGCGATGCTTGGCCTCTCATACACATCACGCTGCACATTTAACTGGTGTGATAGAGCACACAAGCACTTAGGGTGCTCAGAAATGGGGCCACTGGATCTGGAGTCCGATACGAGCTGTGGGGAAGCTGGCTGCCCCTTTATGGTGCACACTGATTTCTGGTATTTCACTTCCACGAGGCAGAAAAGGGAAAAGCAGCAGGAAGGTGATAAGAAATCAGGCAGAGAATCTTATTTCAAATAGTAGAACTGGCTAGGGCAGGTCAGATGTTTGTTGTAACTTTTCTTTGTGTTTATCAGATGTTAGTTACCAAGTACCAATTAATATAATTATTGCTTACTTCCCTCCCTGAGATCCATCTCTTGAAGTCATAGCTGTGACATAGCAGAGACAAATCATTCCCATTAAATAGCAGTGTGTGGACTGTGGGTGCTTTTAAATGCCTAAGAACGGCATGATTTCCTGTCGTGCATGCTCTCCACGACCAGGCTGCTGGCTGTGACTCCGTGTAGAAAAGCGTGCGGACAACAAGGAGAACGTAGAACGTCTTTTATTTCTTCATTCTTTGCTGTAATTTATGGAAACGAAGCACAAGTTAGGAGAGCTGAGTCTGTTTCACGGAGTACATGAATAGTATTATTTCAGTGACATTACAGCTGTAAATAACAGCCTGGTACTTGTGCTATGGGGCAAAAGAAAAGCTAAATGCCTTTGGTATCCAGAAGAACTCTGCTTTTTTGGTCCTAAAGACTGAAAACAGAGTCTTCAGACTGTGGTGGGACTCACACTCTGTTAAAGATGACTTTCTTGGTCTGTGATAGTGACTGGCTCATAAATTTGCTTCTCTATCCTGAATTTGCTTTCTGTCGTAGACTGTTGCCCATTAAGTACTCAAAAGCAATTGCCATGCTCGAGGTCAGTTGGAAAGCTCTTAGTGCAGATAGGGGAAGAGCCAGGTTTCCCCTCAGGCTGGGTGTTTGTGTTGGAGCTGTGGTTGCAGAGGCTGCTGACACGAGGCACAGAGCAGGTCCCTGCTGGCTGTGGGGTGTTGGGGTGCTTGGCAGAGAGGGAGGTGCAGTCACTGCTGACATGTCTTAGTGACATTTCAGACTCTGTGTTCACGTACAGCTGAATTTTGGTGCTGCAAAAGTTGGTTGAGAAGCAGTTGCTTCAGTGGGATTTCGGTTATGCCTGTGAGCATCAGGTGAATTAAAAAGAATTGCTTGATGTAGTCACTGCTGCTGGTGTGAGGCGGGTGCCATTGCTGTGGGACCTCTGGCCATGGCCTGGCAGTGTCCAGAAATGCCCTGGAGTATTCTGTCCAGTTGGAGCTGGCCAAGGCAGACCAAGCTAATTTTGATCACTTCAATGAACCTGGGAAATAGAAGCCAAGTCTAAAAAATCATAGAATAAGATCATGGAATAGGCAGGGTTGGAGGGGGCCTTTAAAAGTCATGAGCAGGGACACCTTTCTTAGTCTTTTTGCCTTGTTCTTCCTTTCTGTCCATGATTACAAGAGAGAAACCCCAGTGTTTGACGTGGAGGTTGTTCATTCCCCCTTCAGAGTTGGTTTGCAAGAATGATTGCGTCTCTTTGCAGCACTAAATGTGCTTCTAGACTTGGAGCTGAACTATGTGCAGGTGTGGGTTGATAAAATAGAATTTGGTGGCCACAAAGCACATCTTGGCTTTCCAAGAGAAGTCAGAGGGTTAGACTGGATTCTGGGGTAGCTCAGTGGAATTGAGCTCAGTTCCCAGGACATCAGAGTGCATGGAAGGTGGAACCACATTTCAGGTTTAAGAAGACATAAAACAAGCCCCAGAAAATTTAGACCTTCAAAGGCATTGTGAAATGATTTTTGACAGTCTGGTAGATGACAGGTTACATCAGGGACTACAAATTGAACTGAGCAAGAGAGCTCAGATGTTTCAAAAAGTGATGGTGCCCTATACTGTTTCAGTGGAGTGTAGCAGTCACCGGGCACCTCCCTGCAGCAGAGAG